GTGTCGGACGATTGCGTCGTATATAGCGACCACTATATACCCGCGTATATATAGACACCGCAAGTTATTCGGCACACGTTTTCTCTACTTTGTATGTAGACGAGAGCGCGATGCTAGCACTAGCCAATACTGGCGGCATAGGCTCGGTGTTACTGCTGTGGTGACCGTTGCCACGGTAACCGATTCCATTTTCCACATTCCAATCTTTTCGGTTTGAGGTATGTTTAAATGTTCGCAAACCGTTTTCCCCGCGAATGCCTATTATAAGCGAGCGTGGTTCGTAGTTTCAACATCAATTCGATACTTTCGTCACAAAACGCGTGTTTAGTGGATGATAAACTGATAAACTCTAATGAATTATTGAAGGGATATAATGCAGGCACTATTCAGGACGTGCCAATTTGTAAGCGAGCTAATCACATGCCTATAAAACAGTAAAACACCTCCCCCCCACACACACGCACACACACACACCCACGCACACACACCGTTTATGTAGACATTTCCAATATCGCGCACATCCAATGCAGAGGGGACAATCGCAGAGCCCCATGGCACGTATGTCGAAGCGATAGCAAGTAGACCATATATATATATTATATATATACTATATATATTTATTAATATATATAGTTATCAGGGCATATAAAATTTAATAATCTACTTTTATATACACGCTCTTGTATATATCATATCCGGGTGATGCATCGGCGCGCGTCTACAACGAATCACGACATTACCTGCCTGCTATTACCACGCTCCACGCCTCGCCAGCTGAGCACGCATGCGAGCTGTTTACGAGGCGCACACTTCACAAGTTATAAACCCGCCCTCGTAAAACCCACGCGTCGGCGCTCGTAAAAACTCGGCGACGCAACTCACGCCACGAAGAGAAGGAGGAGATGGGAGCAAGAGGAGAGGAGGAGGGGATGATGAGGCGGAGGAGGAGGAGGAGGAGAATTGAGGAGGCAGGAGAGAAAGGAGGGAGGAGTAGAGGTGGAAATGGAGGAGAGAGAAGAGGCAGGAGGAGGAGGAGGAGAGGAGAGGAGGAGGAGGAGGAGGAGGAGAGGAGGAGGAGGGAGGAGGAAGAGGAGGGGGGCGGGCGGTGGGGGGACGACGGCTGAGAGGAGAGGAAGAAAGGGAGGGAGGAGGAGCTAGGGGGAGGGAAGGCTATTCGCACCTCTCGCCACGTGTCTGCTCGGAGAGTGAAGACAACGCTGGCTGGAGGTGGGGTGGTGAGTGTGGAACGGATGTTCGATACATATAGGCGTAGAAGACAAATCTCACAAGATCTCGTTTCCGATTCGTGGGAGTTTACTCAGTTTGGGCTATTTTATCACTCAAAGATTGATATAGCGTATCCACGTGGCGCGTACGTGGCGAATGCGGCGGGTGGCGGGCGTATAGCGCAATAGACGAAGAAGAGAGCATAATCGAGATGGGCATCTCCATGCAAAGAACTCCGCCCTGGAGGGACACGCGGTTCGCCGCGTTGTTCTCAGTAATAAAACTCCTCAAGCGGGTGCTCAACAGGCCGTATGAAACTATCGACGCCGCTATCGCCTCGTCTGTATCGTCGCACTTGACCGAACTATATTGCGCTTGCAACGAGTTAATCACTTCACACTCGCCACCCATCGCGCGCGCACACACACACACATACCACACAACACACACACACCCACACACACACACACACACACACACACAACACACACACACACACACCACACACGCACCTCACACACCACACACACACACACACACACACACACACACACACGCACACACCCACACACAACCACACACATAATATATACGAGATTGGTATACTATATAACGATATTTCACGACTTCCTTAATATAGATTATTGAGTTAGTTTATTCGGGATATATAGTTTATATAATAATATTATATATATATATTAAGGAAGTCGTGAAATACGGTTGAAAGAGAGTTCTCCTTGCGGTGATACGAGTGCGGGCGCTGTCGCCGCGGGGAAATAAAGACACGGGAAGTATTTGTCAAGCGCTGTTCAAGTGTGCAACCGAGTTCCAGCCGATGGGGGGGAGGATGCGAATAATAGAACATTCAGGAGCGTGACCGGTGCTTGACAGGTGAATAGATGTGGGTTTGCTTGACGACTGTTTCCATAGACGCGCATGTCGCACGGCCGCAGACATGTGGTTGATTTTACACCATTGATGGCAGCAGCATGCAGCGGTGAAACAAAAATATCCAATGAGAAACGGCGGGGGAGCGGTAACAGAATATTGCGTGTTTTTTTGCGATGATCAAATATTCCGAACGCGAACTCGATTTCGCAGTAATTTCCCTCATGTCTCGGGAACAATAGAGCGAATATAAGATAAAAAGGCGACGCGATTGCGTCCACAGAGAGTCTAGTTCAATGTCATTATGCGATATTTAATTGATCCCGTGAGTGCTTTCAAACTGGGGTCTGTCGCGTCAGACACGCTCACTCGCTAGATCTGACAACTATCGCATTATAATATCATGTAGAGGGAGCCAGCTGCAAGAGCGCGCACGCGGACCTGACTAATGGAGATAGGGGTAGCGAGAGGGAAAGAGAGAGAAACTGAAGGGCGATGATAGTAAACTATTATATATGGATATATATAGAGAGGAGAGAGAGAGAGAGAGAGATGAGAGAGACGAGAGCGAGAGATAAAGAGAGAAGAGAGAATACAGAGCGGAGATCGGAGAGAGCGAAGAGAGAAGACAGAGAGAGTAGAGGGTGAGAAGATAGAGAGAGATACACACATGCACACAGAGAGAGAGGGAGTGTCTATATGAGAGAGAGAACGAGAGAGATGAAAGGGAGAGAGGAAGGAGAGAGAAGAAGAAGAGAGGAGAGATGGATATAATATATATATATTTCGCGCGATAGCAGAGAGAAGAGATGAGAAGAGGGAGCGGAGAGAGAGAGAGCGAAGAGATAAAGAGAGAGCGAGAGAGAGCATAGATAGATAGATAAGATAGATATGATAGATAGATAGATAGAATAGATAGATAGATAGATAGATAAGAGAGAGAGAGGAGAGTAGAGATAGAGAGATGAGAGAGAGAGAAGAGGAGAGAGAGAGAGAGAGATGAGAGAGAGAAGTGAGAGTGAGAGTGAGTAGTGAGAGGCGTAGTGAGAGTGAGAGTGGAGAGTGTGATTTGGAGAGAGGAGAGAGAGTGATTGTGAGAGAGACAGGAGAGCGCGCGAGAGAGAGACGAGAGAGAGCCGAGAGACGAGACGCTCAGCTTGCTCACGCCAACCTGATGAGCGAAGCCTTATTTTGCAAGAAGCTGAGCGCAGAGCAGATCACGTTACAGCGCCACACGTGCTCCTCCCACACACATACGCATACGCACGCGCGCACGCGCGCACGCGCATACACACACACACCCATCCACACCACACACACATACCACACCACACAACACACACACACACACACACCACACACACACACACACACACACACACATACACACACACACACACCACACACAACACACCACACACACAAGCACACACAGCGAGCACACAGCACACACACGACACAAACTGTAGCAAACACTGCTGGTGTCGCAGATACGATGAACATACACGCATAGCGGTACGCAAAACACGGGTTCAACAACGAAGGGAAGTTACGGAACGGCGCCAGCGTAACACAGCAAGGCAGCTGCATAATAATATTTGCATTTGTCGGATATTACTTTGGCTATATAATTAGCTGCGCATGAATGGCAGTCCGTAAGGGGGCATCCGTCGCCTATCATATAGATAGCAGAGAGCAGCAATTTTGTGAATGGACAGCTTGATTCGGCTCTATGGAAGGCAGATCCCACTGGCAGTACCCCTGTAGATTTCATGGCTTGCTTGTTGACGTGCGTGCGTGTGCGTCGCGTGGCGTGCGTGCGTGGAGTGCGTCCGTGCGTTCCGTGCGTGCGTGGCGCGCGTGGCGCGTGTGCGCGGTGTGTGCGTGTGTGCGGTGTGTGTGTGTGTGTGTGTGTGTGTGTGTGTGTGTGTGTGTGTGTGTGTGTATAAACGTCAGTGAGTTGAGCAAACAGTAGAGCAGTGCAAAAAGGAGATGGCAGGGAATAGAGGCGGGTCTACTGTACTTACCTTGCCCAACGCCCGAATAACACTTTAAATTCTATACTGTCAGGAATTCATAATTCATGGTTTCAATTTTGTAATAATTAATCATTTCTGTTCTCTTCCGGCGATATGACTACAGTTGGATAAAAATGGGGAATTCATGTTCATAAAGCGATCTGCTCATTTGATGGGGTACGATTAGTATACATAGAGGGCGACACTGAGCTAAGCGAGGAGTTTCTTCGCCTTCTTAAAATATCTCTTGAATATATATATATATATTCTTATATTATATTATATTATATTATATTATATTACATTACATTATATTATATTATAATTTACTATAATTATTTTATTATTCCTGAAATTATCAACGACGCACTTTTGACTGAATTAAATTCGGAAGCGGTTTGTTGGAAGACGTCAGGAACCGGTGAGGATGTAGCTCCTACGAGAAGATGAGCAAATGTTACTGCGAAAATGCGAAATGTGCGCTGGTAAATGTTGGGGTTTCTCATGTTACGGCCGATTCTGTTAAAGAGTTTTATAGTTGAATATATTATTTGTTTTTATCTGTGTCATTATGGGTGAATCTATTGGTGACAATATCTCATTTATAATTATGGTCAAACATAGGTGACAGTAAATAGAAGTAGCTGATAAAATATTCTGTATCACAACTGTGTGATTATTTAATTAATGTTTTGCCGTGCCTATAGAACGGCACGTAAAATTTGAATTAATGCAGTATAGGTTTCACATATAATAGGCCAGCGTTAGCTGTAGATCTCCGGCTAAATAATTCTGTCCGTATGGGCGAATTAAAAACCACGTTAGACAGTTAAGTATGTGCATGGCTGTGACACGAAGGCGTTCGTCTCATAATGTGCTCTTATACATGCTCTTATACATGCTTTCATGCATGCTCCCATACATGCTGTCATGCATGCTCTTATACATGCTGTCATGCATGCTCCCATACATGCTGTCATGCATGCTCTTATACATGCTGTCATGCATGCTCCCATACATGCTGTCATGCATGCTATTATACATGCTGTCATGCATGCTCCCATACATGCTGTCATGCATGCTCCCATACATGCTCTCATGCATGCTCCTATACATGCTGTCATGCATGGTCCCATACATGCTGTCATGCATGCTCCCATACATGCTCTCATGCATGCTCCCATACATGCTGCCATACATGCTCTCATGCATGCTCCCATACATGCTCTCATGCATGCTCCCATACATACTGTCATGCATGCTCCCATACATGCTCTCATGCATGCTCCCATACATGCTGTCATGCATGCTCCCATACATGTTGTCATGCATGCTCCCATACATGTTGTCATGCATGCTCCCATACATACTGTCATGCATGCTCCCATACATGCTG